TTGACTGGGGGAGGGGGAGGGAAAGGGGAGGCGGCGGTGGGGAAGAGGCAGAAATCTTTAATAAATAAATTAATTAATTAATTAAAAAAAGAAAACACAGCTTCAAAAGATTAAAAAAAGTGAGAATTATACTCTCAGTTGCTACATAACGCCTGAAATAATGCCCCTTTACCTAAATTTCTTGAATATGGACGCCCATCAACAATCTGCCATGGACAGATCTTGGCATGACAGCACCAAGGTGACCTTCGCTAAAGCAAGGTAGAAAGACCCTTGTACTGGATTATGGAAAGGACACTGCCTTGTATCAATATCAGGTCAAGGGCATGTCTGTGATTTTTCACAGAAAGAGGCTAAAGCAAAATGGCTTCTGGAATGTCTAGTCTGATACATACCACAAAGAAAATGCCAGCCCTGATGACGTCGTAGCCACTGATGGCCCACAGAAGAGTTGGATTGAAAATCCTGAACCTATGTTCCTGACTTATGCCATCATGCCACAGTCATAGAAAGAATCATGGTGATTCCCAGTTTTTCTTGTGAGCCTACTGAACAAATTCCAAACCTTGCTGAGTCCTGTTTACTTTGGAGCTGGTCCAAGAATGCTGACTGAATGTTTGACAGTTTATCCATACTATATTTTGAGACACAAAATCTGTTGTTGCCAGTATGGCATTCAATCTGCTGTTGAAACAAAGAAACTGAGAACTGAGACCTCAATTCTCCCGTCTAGGAAAAAAAGACTCATTACAAAGGGTGACTGAAGGCCCTCTTCAAAGATAGCATAAAAGTTTCTGCTGCTGCTCAGGGACTGGGACAGTTCAGACTTATCTTTAAAACTTAAAAGTAGCAAAGCAGTTGGACTATAGGAGAGAAAAAAGACTATTAGCTCACCCATCACAAAAACCTTTTCTTGTCTTTTGGTTAGAACAGATTTAAGAGAATTATGATTTGACAAATTGTGTATTTCTTGCTAACTTCTATGTTAGAATCATGGCACTGAACTGTTAGTGTTTGTAACTGCTTTAGTTCATTATGAAGATGGTATTGATTAGAAAAATATTAGAGCTTGTCTGAGACAAATTTGACATGGTAAGTTCTTAGATTTGATAAGCTTAAAAGGACAAATTTGGATTTCAATTGTAGCTGAAAACTGTTAAAGATATCCTACACCAATTTAAAAAGGCATTCCCTTCTCTGGTCATCCTCCACTCCTTTATTAGGAGATGTTGTAGATAAAGGAGTATATGTATCACAAAGCATCTTTATCTTCTTGCATATGACTATCTCTCAGCAGAAAATTGGCTCAAAGGTGCACAGAGCTGAGATGCCTTCTCCTTTAACCTTTCATTCACAGAGGCTGGTATTCAGAAATAGGCAAGATTTCTGGCCCCTGCTCCCCCCTCCAGGCAATCTAAGACAGGACAGAATGTATATAATGATGACAGGTAAGTCTGGAAAATGAGAAAAGATCCCAAAGCTAGGCACAGTCATCAGTCCTGTAGCAGAAGCACGGGCTTTATTAACTAAAACAAAAAGGAGGAATTGTGAGAACCCACAGATGTGAGCCTGTTCCACCTTGACTGGAGGTCAGAGAGCTTGAGCTTACTTTTGCTCTTTCAAAGTTGTTGAGAACAACAGGTGTGACTACAAACAAGAGATTCTGACCTAGGGTGTGGTTAATTAGTGTTTTGGGTGCAGAGGTGGATCTGCACTACCTTGACCAAAGGTCATAGAATTCAAGTCTGTTCCTTGTGTGATGCTAATAAAATCTGTTGGCTCCCTGTCCTCTTCTGGAGTGAAGTATATACGCATGTTGAACATAAAGGCAGGTGGATTCAGTATCCACTGAATTTCCCTACCAATGCTGTTCTGTTTCTGTCTCTTATTTCTCTCATATCTCTGATTCTTTTGCTTAATCATTCTAATCCTCATGCCTCATGTTCCTACCCTGGAATGTACAAATTTCATCGAGGCTGCTCTTTGATAGGCTACGTCTCTCGACTGAGAAAGGAGTTGAGCACTAATTCCCATCTCCAGCCAAAGAGCTCTTGACAATTAATTAATTAATAGCAGCTGGGAGAGGGAGGGTCAATTTCTTTTTCTAAGAATGTAGCTGTTTATAAATCACCATGCTCCAGTAGAAGGCCAAACACTCCAGAATACTCTGGCAGCACAAGCTAGCTTTATTGGAAAAAATAATAAAACCCTGAAAGTTGGATGGGTAAGAAAGTGGTGGTGTGTTGGATCTGGGTAGAATAGAGGGAGGAGGGAGAGTGAGGGTAAATAGAACCAATAGTCATCTATGTTTGTTTTATAGTTAAACTAATCAGGTTCTTTAGATACATAGAGATTATATTCTTTATAGATAGATAATCTTCAACCTCTTCAAAGAGCTGTAGAAAATGGCATTTAAATAACTTAGAGTTCTATTGTAGTGAGACACAATTGCTCCTGGCAACGCGGATCTATTCCGGAGAGAATGTTGAACACCAAAGACATTCCACATGGAGCATGTCTTCAAGTAGAATGACTTGTCTTTCCTTCCTGTGTTTCCTAATCACCCTCTCAAAACCAATTGTCATGCATGACACCAAGTCTATAGCCATGCACGTGTATTCTTTTATTCATAATGACAAACCGTCTTTGTACAATGGCTGCATAGAAAATAGTTCACTAGGGAACATCAGTTTTCTACTCATCCTCCATTAAAATCATATTCTTTTCAATTTTATGCCAATTTCTGGGGAAAAAAGGCTCATTCTCTATGAGCTGAGTGCTGCATAGAGCTTACAATTAAACTTGAATAGAAATCATAATAATGTTATGATCTGCTAATTAAATTAATTTGGGTCATTAATTTCTTCCAGAAATGCTTTGAGATTTTAGATGTGCAATACATGAACACATAGGCTGAGTTTTTTCCCTGGGTTACAGATATTATTTGCACTGATAGATTAAAGTAATACTGACACTGTTAGCCACTTAAATGGAGGCATACTTTACAGGTAGAAATTGCATATTCTCCAGGTCTCAGTTGAGTTAACATGTGTCCATACTACATGATGATTGCTATTATCAGCCCATGCATCAATAGCCATGGTTTCCATTAGTGTCTGAAGGAGACAAGTATTCAGGAAATCTCTTATATCTATTTTTAATTAAAAAAAAAAACAAAGAGAAATCCACAGTCACTGCGCTACACATTGGATTACTGTAGAAAGAGACTGCTCCTTTTTTTCCTGGCCACCCAGATCTGAATGATCACACAGAAACTATTAATTTAATTATTAGTTAATTTACGACAGTGTTGTAAATTAATTACAACACGGTTTGGCCTATTAGATCAGACTTCTTATTAACACACACATCTTAAATTAATTAACCCATTTCTATTGATCTATGCATCACCACAAGGCTGTGGCCTTTCTTCTTCTTCTTCTTCTTCTTCTTCTTCTTCTTCTTCTTCTTCTTCTTCTTCTTCTTCCTCCTCCTCCTCCTCCTCCTCCTCCTCCTCCTTCTTCTTCTTCTTCTTCTTCTTCTTCTTCTTCTTCTTCTTCTTCATAGATGAGAGAGAGAGACTTCCAGACTGCAATAGGCCAAAGCAGCTTTATTCATTAACCAAAAAAAGCACCATATATACAGAAGGACATCCTACATCAGATTCCTATACCTCATTAATTTTTTAGCCAAAAGTTTTTCTCTTTGATTAACATATCCTCGCACATCATCTACCCCAATGTCTCCTTCCAGCACCTGGGAACCATCATCCTACTCACTGTTCCTATGAATTTGATTTTTTGGCCACATATTTAGTCAATCATCTTTAGTGTCTGGTTTATTACACTTAGAATATCTTTCTATAGGTTAATTAAAGTTGTGAAAAACAAGATTTCTTTTATTTTTTTTCTCACAGCCAATGTTCATTGCTAGGATTTTGTCTGGATCGATCTTTTCTAGGCCTTGTGTACATAACCACAGGTGCTATGTATGAGATGATGCTTGAGACATTACGGTTATGGCCAGAAGACAGCATCCACAGCAGTGCTCTCTATCCTCCATATGTAATGTTCTTTGTGCTTTTTGTTCATGATGTTTCCAAAGCCTTTGTGTGCTGTGGATGATAACATGCCCTATTTAAGATTTATATTTGAGTTTCTTATTCTCAATACATTAATAATTATGGATTTCTCTACTGGCTGCTGTCTACTGAAAAAACAATCTAAGCCAAACAAGGTAGAGAACCCCCAGTCTACTGTTAGAATCATAAATATGTGAAGGCAATGGATAGTAAAAGTGCACTGTGGGATTGTTATGGAATCTGGACCTGGACACATGGCTCAGTGGGTAACGTACCTGCTTCACTGTTGAAATAGGAGCGGCAGGGCTGCGTCCCCGGCACCCGGCCGCCCGCATGGCTAGTTTATACCCAGAAATAATTACACGGAAACTGTATTCTTTCAAACACTGCCTGGCCCGGCTAGGTCCAGTTTCTTATTGGCTAGCTCTTATATATTGTTCTAACCCATTTCTAATATTCTGTGTAGCCCATGAGCTGGCTTACCAGAGAGGATCTTAACCTGCGTCTGTCTGGCGTGGGAGCATCATGGCAACTCTCTCAGCTAAGCTTCTTTTTCCCAGCATCCTCTTCTGTCTACTCCGCCTACCTAATTTTCTGTCCTATGAGGGCCGAGGCAGTTTCTTTATTATTACAAGACCCACCTCCATCACTTCACAAGCATGAGTACATGGATTTAAATGGTCAGTACCTACATAAAACCCTGGTTGGCAGGTGTGTTTCTGTAGGTAAATACAGGAGGAGGGATAAAATAGAAAGATGTCTATTAATAATAAATAACAGTGACAAAACACAGAAGCTACCAACTCATTAGGAAGAATAGAGGTTTGAAACAGGATATGAAACCTCAAAACCATGGTTTTTCCTAGTTTATTTCTTTTTTTTGTTATTTATGTATCTTCAACAATTCATTGAGAAGGTTTTGCTATAGATTTTTCATAAGCCAACTCAAGTACTGGTTTTGCATCTTGTGTGCAATTTTAAAACCATGAAGGGTAAATGCTGCATGGAACCCATCCTCAATGTGGTGATGGGTCACCTGAACTCCAACATTCTGAAGCCGTGTCACATACATGAGTCCATCATCTCTTAGGACATCATACTGACAAGTGATGATATAAGTCAGAGGTAAGTGGCTCAAAGTGTTGTCGTTGGCCAACAGAGGGCATGCCTTCACATCGAGGAACCCTGGGTACTTTTTAGACAGTTCAGAACTACCAGGAGTAGGACTCTTGTAAACGTGACCTTTCTTATATTTCTCAGGGAGTAAGGAACTCCAGTTCACAAATTGCAACAGATGACTGGATTCCAGAGGTACATGTTGGTTGAGAAGCATGGCTTTCTCCAGGGTTCGATCTGTAGTAAAGTATTCACTCCAAAATCTTGCCATCACTGAGGGTGTTAAGAATGGAAAATATGAACCTTCTTGATACGATGGTAAATTTATATCGAGAGCCTGAAGGGCAGGATATATTAAGGCCTGAACCTTGAGTTTTGTCTTGACATCAGGATCCTGTATGAGCTGAAAAGGAATTAAAATTACATTGGAATGAATATTTTAATAAGTCTATTTTCATCTAGAAATAATATGTAGATTATTATTACAGTAATTTTATTTTTGTATAAATGTGTAAACCTGTTAAGATGAAAACAAATTTATCTTTATTACTGCTGGCTGAACTTTATGCAGAATAGATTAGAATTTTTAAAAAACTATATTTTTAAAAAAATCTCATTAATGAGCCACATATTCAAAATTTTCCCTTCTCCATCTCACAACATACACCCGTATTACAAATCCTATCTTGGTTCTCCTAACATTTAGCATCCAAACTGAACAAAAGGAATCTGAAAACAAAGGTATTAAATATAATACATGCCTGTGTTGAGTTGCCTAAGCTGCGATTAGTAAGAAATAGTATTTACCTACTCCCCATAGCGGTTTTTCTTCCTATTTGCATATCTCTGAGAAGGGGTTTCTCAAGCTGTAGACAAGCCAGATCTGCAATCAACTATGTAGGCGAGGTTGGCCTCAACATTCTGGCAGTTCTCTCTACCTCCCAAGAGCTGGAATTTTAGGCATAAGTCACCAGTGGGTTTTATGTGGGGACAGGGATTGAACCCAGGGCTTTGTGCATGCTAGGTTCAGCCCATGTGGGCCATAACCATATGTGAAGATCAGAGGAAAAACCTAAAGGAGTCAATTCTCTCCTACCACATCGAAACCAGGGATTGAACTGGAGTCATCATCAGGTTTGACAAGTACCTTGTACCCACCATGATCTTTCCCACCAAGTTTGTTTCTATTCTAAATTCTAAGTGTAAATAACCTCAAAAAGGGAAATTACAAATCACTGCTTTTATTTTAATCAATTAAATTTAACATTTTACTCAAGAGAAAAGCATACTGTCAATGATCTACTCTTAAAATGCCTTCAAATATATTTTAAGAACTAGCCACAGAAATAAGACAATTAATCAAATATTGGAAACTGTCAAAGAACAACTTCAGTAAAATTTTATTAGAAAGTATAGAATAAGGTAACTGTAAGTAAGCTGTTCACAATTTAAAGGAAGAGATAATATCCTGTGCTAGTAGGCATTAAGTATTGTAGGAATGAAGCAGAACAGAGTCACAAATCTTTAGTTCTCCCAGTAAGAAATGACTTCCCCAAGGGGATACCATGTGAACTGGGCTTTGAGAGAAGATTAAAAAGAATAAAACAGCCAAGAAGACAGCAGAGAATATTGTCTAACCAGGAAGCACAGCATGTATAAAAGTATAGAAACATGGACCTAAAGACTGCAGTAAACTGAAGAAAGTAATTTAGTAATCAACTACTCCTCCAGGTAAAGGCAACATGAAGGTAAGAAGGTACAAGTCAATTATCAAAGCTTTTATGTGAGTCATAAATAGATGACATATAAAGGCCAATGAAGATTTTAAAAGAGATGACAAGAGTTTGTGTTTTCAAAAAGTGAGATAAATTCAGATAATCAGATACAACAAAAATATCTCCCAGAATTTTCTAGTGTTCTATATTGTCAGTGTTTACTCCTTAATGTATTTACTGACATAATGTAGACGTATTTTACACAATGCACACGATTCGATTTAAAAAATACTAGTGAAAATGCTGTGCCATATTTTTCCAGAAAATACTTTTATGACTTTGGCAAGTCATGTATTATTAAACATGTTAACCAGTCAAAAACCAGGAAAGATGATCAGAAGCAAGTTGAAACTGTTATGAACATAGTTTTGCTCTGACACTGAGAGTCAATCATCACATTATACTAGAGGGGGTGGTTTATGCATGCTCCATCTAGGAGAATGAATGGGGTGATATTCTTGTATTTAACATCACAGTCGTAGCCTGAGTGGGTACCATCTCAGGAAAAAGTGTCTTTTAAATAGTACATGTTACCAAAGACAAGACAGCGAAGTTAGGGTTTACTGTGTGGAATGTCTTTGTCCTGAAGATGTTTTAGGTCTAGAAATATTCTTTTTATTTTTACTCTGTGACAGTCTAAAGCATATTAAATGATATTTTATATAGATATTAAAAAAACTATGAGTCAGAAATCTTTAAAAATGACAGAAGTTGGGATTTATGAAAGAAAGGTTTATAATGCAACAAGGAAAACAAATACATGCCTAAAGAGATTAGGATAAAAGGACAAATCCACAATTGGGTACTGCTTTACTTTCAAAACTTCTAGCCCCTTTATGTGCACCTCATGCTGTATCAGGCTGCCTTTCAGAGCAATGAGGCATATGCAATGTAGAATTCAAACTGTGGAATATGTTCTACACTTATTTTACAGATATTAGAACAAACCACAGAATTTGTAGCTTCTTTTCTCTGGAAATAAAGACGGTACTTTAATTGTAGCAGTGTACGGCAACCAAATGTCCTCATTGTAGCTAAATATCCTAAAAGTTTATGAACAACTTCGATCTGAAAATAATTAATCATCTGACAAGCATAAGGTAGCGAAAAACTGATGAATTTCATTCATAGTTCTCTTTACTAACATTTCTCCTTTGGAAAATTTCATTATTCCATTATCAAGAGATATGAATTCAGTTCTGGCATCCTCTAACTGTCAATATTACAGTTACCATGTTCTCAGTTTTGATGACTAGTGTCATTGACCAACTTTACTAGTACAACCCATAATAGGTACAGGATATTACCTAACTGACCATAATAATCATATTCAACCAAAAGCCGAGAAATTGTATTTTGTCATAGTATATAAAAAAAAACACTGACATAAAACAAACTAAAAAACACTATATAGACAAATGTTTTCTCTACATCAGTCCTAGTGTTTCTCTACTAATTTAACATGGTAATAAAATAGCGTGTTTTCACTGATATTTCAAAGGTTTGAATCAAATATATTTACATATAGGCTGTTTTAAGATCTCAAACAAACCTGTTGGGTCACAGCTGCAGCTAAGTTCCCACCAGCACTGTCCCCAGCTACACCAACTCTTCGAGGATCTACGCCATATCTTTCAAGAATGTCCTTTTGTAAGAACCATCGTAAAGCACTGTATACATCTTCAAACTGACGTGGGAAATGATATTTGGGGGCCAAGCCGTAGCTGTGCGAAGAATAATTGGTTCAAATGAATGAAATTTAACTTTATATGGCAAATCTCTAAAATAATGCCAATTTTCTTTTAATAAACAATTTTTTTGTTAGCTATATACCCATGGATATATTTCATCTTAAAATCTTGGCCGATTTTACATTATACTTCTAAAAACTTGAGTAAAACAATTGAATTCTGCTTGAGGTAAAAATAAAAGAATGAAAAATGTAGCAGGTAATACATTTCCTAATTCGATTCCAAGCACTTTTTTTTTACTATTGTTATATTTTATTGAAAATTAGTCAGTGACAAAGAAATCTTATTAATTTAATGTTTGAACTCTACCTAATATAAAAGCAGTATGTGACCACTATGTTTTGTTAATTACTTATTCAATTCATTCCTATTAAATTAATTTCTTATCAATTATTTTCTTAGTATGTGATTTGCCTGTTTCCACGTGTAGCTTGAGGACAAATTGCTTTTAGTGATGATTTTGCCATGGCGTATGGTAAATTAACCCCTTAAGTGCAGCTTGCCATGACATCCTCAGAAAGACCACATTGTGTAGAAAATATATGTTTCTCAGTTCACATACAGATAAACTAAACTGAATTAATAGTATATGACATGTACAAAGTCTCCAGGCAAAGTTTCAAACCTTATTTGCCTGTGATTCTCTAAGTACTCAGTCTGCTGAAGGAAGCTGTGCAGGTCACTGGTACGTGTTATGCACCGGTGTTATTGTGTTCTAATGATTTCTGAACGTTACCTTTTCAGTCCTGGTTGATATTAAGTGTTGTATTTTTTGTTTGTTTGTTTGTTTTCTCTGAGTCTATTCTTGCCAACTCGAGTTCACTTTCTCTTTGCTCACTCTCCTAATTTCAGTTAAAATATTCAAGCAATAACCCCGCCATAAAATGTGACGAAGAGTGTTAGTTTCTTGCTACACAAAACACAGAACTGAACATTGAAGAAGCAAACCATAGTCTTACTCAGTTGACACAACAATAGCATCGAGTCTATCAGCTGTCTTTCTTGCCAGAAGGTCATACATAGAAAGAGCTGAAATTGAGAAAACAGAGTGAGAGTTTGTAAAGTGAACTTCTGGAAAAGCATGTCATCAAAAGCACAGCAGTGCACATTGCTCCTCACAGACAGTATACAACTGCTTCTGTTTGCAACACTTCATTGTCTTTGTAGAAAATGAATCCTCAGCTATTTTCACATAGACACAGTCAAGGGCTTGCACTATTAGCTTCACATTGCCTAGTCTAAACCACTGCTATTCTATTGAATATCCATATCTTTTTATTTTTAGCAAATTTTATGTGTTGAAAGTACATATAACTATACCCCTACTATAAGCTACTGAGCTCTGGACTTGCTGAGGCTGATATGCACTGGTCCAGGTAATATGAATGATCATTGTCCCTTCACCTGGAGCAGATAATCAGATGGTTTTGATAAATGCCCCATTGCCCAATCTTTGCCTAGCCTTTCATAGTTCCTGAGCCCTGACTAGCCATGCCTTAGGTCATCTGGAAGTAGCTACAGAAGAGAACACATCATCCTTGCTTCCATAACAGTGGCTAAATAGGGCTAAGTCAGAAAATACTTCCTGACATAGGGGACAAAAGACTATACTGCTGATTTCAATGGATATACAACAAGTTGGGCTCAGATTTATCAATGCGTAGCTTCATCAATTAGAATTGTTCTATGATAGAACATTTAACCTGCTTTATGCAGAACAAAGAGATTTTGTCTGAATTTCAGAACCCCAGGAAGTTGTCTTTCTATTTTTGTTCATTACTACTAACTCTTACAATATTAATTTAATAGCTAAATGGCAGTATCTATCTTGGTATCATTAGCCATGGTTAATAGATTGTAAAGTAAACCAGTTCTCATCATACAGTCAAAGATTTGACCCAAGATACAACTTCAGGGGGAAATGTTAGACCTGAACTAACCTGTCGGTTTGTTTCTGTTTCAAAACCTAAATAACCATCTCATCAATATCAACACTGGAATAAAAGATGCAAAACAGGAGTCCTGGAAAAACTATATCTCAATGAGAATGCTGCACATCCCTTCCTCAGGTCTTAACTAAATTCCAGAGCACCTTTTGTCTCTCTATCTTAAAATCAAGTTATAAAGATGGTATACTCTACTAATGCTATTATGAAACATGTACATTATAAAATATGTAAGATATATTGGATATATTAGTTATATGCAAAATGTTTACATTTAATAAAGTAAAATGATAATAAATACAATTATATGCAGTGAAATACTATATTACATAATCTACATGTAACAAGTGAATATATAAAATCAAATGAAAATAGTATGTTCAGATCTGTGTTTTCTCAACTAACATCTTTGTTCTCACTTCCTTCAGATTAACACTTTATAAAAGACCACAGTCAGCATCTCAATTTGATGATATTTGCCCATTGTTTGGTTCACCCCCACTTTGGGTCTCACTACAGCATCAATTCTACAATAATAAAACCATATACTCAAGAAGCCCTTTCTCTTCTTACCTGAGATGTGTACAGTTCTTAGTAGTCATGAATACCCATTTCAGAAAAGAACACGTTTCAAACAATAAAAGCATTATTATATCTTATTATATTACAATAACTAACATATATGAGATTTTAACGTGGAGTGTATCACATTTTGTGAAACAAACAACAATGATCAAGAAAAGGGACATACCTGCACTCCCCAAACACCAGCCACCACCGTGAATATAAAACAGGCCCCTCCTGAGAGTCTCTGACTTCCTTTTGGGCATGTATATGCGAACAGGAACACTGCTGAAAGCCGTGTCTATTACAGCGACATTTTCATCAGAAATGGCTGGGACTTCTTGAAGGCTCAAAAACAATTGTATTGTGCTCATGAAATGACCGATTCCCAGAATTTCAGAAATAGAAGCCTAAGTGAAGAGGAGAAAAATGATTAAAATCGTGTGTGTGTGTGTATGTGTGTGTATGTGTGTGTGTGTATGTGTGTGTATGCAGACTGCTGAGTCCCTTTAGAGTCTGCCCACTTGTAGATGATGTTCACTGAGCCTAAGGTATAGGGTAGTGTTGTGGACTTATCAGTTGATGCCAAGCACCCTCATAGTTAATGTGTGTACTTTACAAACTGTACTTCTTTTCATTTTTGGAATTTATGTACATTAGTGTATTGTTCATGTGCATTTATGTTTTATGAGGGTGTCAGGAACCCTGGAACTGGGTTATAGATAGTTGTGAGCTCTCATGTGGATGCTGGGAATTGAACCTGGATCCTCTGGAAGAATAACCAGCGCTCATAAGTGCCGAGCCATCTCTCCAGCCCCTAATTTTAAATTAATTTTAATTTTGTCACTTGTTTCTTTGAATTTTTGCTTTTGAGTTCTTTTATATTCTAGGCATTAACCTTCTATCAAATATATAGCTGGCAAAAGTCTGTCCCTCTAAGGGCTTCCTCTTCATGCCGCTGAGAGTTTTCCTGGCTGCTCAGGAGATTTTTAGTTTTTTGAGGTGCCATTTTCCAATTGTTGATATTAATTTCCAGGTAAAAGGTTTCTCGGTCAAAAAGTCCTTTCCCACACGATGTCATGTAGGACTGCCTGCACTTTCTTCTAGCAGTTTCAGCATTTCAGGTTTCACATGGAGTTATCTGATCCATTTGGAGTTGATATTTCTGTGCAGTATGATAGATAATGGTTTCTTCTATACATTCACATACACATATCCTAGTATTATTTATTGAGGAATCTGTAAATAGCTTTATTAATGTGAATTCCTATTAGTACGCATGTCTGTCTGTGCTATTATCATTTAAAACACTTAATGCTTTTTATAATTTTTGTCATCAAAATATGGAATACATTCTTTTTATATTTTTCACATGTACAATTTCACATGTGAGTTAGAATATTTTACTTTTAATAAACACACTGTAATTTTATTTAAAATGTTTTTATACACTATATTTTGATTATGTTTTCCCTTCCTTCAAATCAAAATCTCCCTACCTCCCTACCCATCCAGCTTTATGCTCTCTCAAAAGAAAAGACAACACACTAAAATGAACACCAAAACAAACAAGCAAAAAATTAACAAGACAATAAAATGTCAAAAGAAAACATAACCATACCCTTAGCAAAGGCTCAGGAATAAAGTAATATTATATTGTCCCCTATATACTGTAATCTACCAAAACATGCTTGTTAATGGTCCCAGATACATATATGAAAGATTTAAAATTGATTTTAAATAATGAAACTTATCCATATTATCTGTATATGATTGGACACTAAGACCATTTTGAGAGCCTTGAATCATTAAATACTGGCTTTGTAGTAAAGCAAAGTTTACTTTATCGTTTCCAGGTTTTAGAGTTAATTCTTAAATACCTACATTTTATTTAGGCCCAGTTAAGCAAAGGCTATTTAATAACTAATTTTTCAAAGCACCAATGAGAGGAAAGAGGGAAAGAAGGAAAAAGAGAGGGAAAAAAATCTTAGGAAGAAAAGAGAGAGGAAAGAAAGGGACAGAACTTCGGAAGAGAAGAGAAGGAAAGATGCAAAGGACAGAATAGAGGGAGGACAAGGGGAAAGAAAAGGGAAGGGAAAGAAGAAGGGGGGAAGGGACGAAACGAAAAAGCCACAAAAGGGAAGGAAAGGGAAAGGAGGAGAGACAATAGACAGCAAATGGTGCCTAGATATTAAAACTGTAACTGGAATTTCAAGTATCATTCTAAACATTCACACATTCACCCTTATGAACCTTTTACTTGAACAACACACCACAAATAGTATCTTCATTATGTAATAACTTTTATCAAGTGCCAAAATGTGGCAAATATAGGGGACACTATTCAGTTATTTTTACTAATTCCAGACATATTTTGTTCCATTAGACCTCTTTATTAGAGGCTTAATTTTGTTGTAAAAGCACTAATCCATTATTGGGACTCATTTGGGGTCAGTAAGAATCATTTCCTGGTAGGAGATTTCTTCTGTAAGTGACAATGCCAGATATCCTCACTGGGCATCCCAGAATGTCACAATAACAAGATCTGTGGGCTATCTCAAGGTTCTAGGTGGACAAACCTGAGGTGCACCTCACAAACAAACCATTGAAAGTACTGATTCAGGAGAGCTGTGACTTCTTCTGATGTGTTCCTGGGAGACCGCTGTATATAATAAAACAGATGTACCCAATACATCCGTTTGAACCCAAGTCACCAAAAGTCACCCCAAGCAGACACAAAAAGCCCTTGGCTTTTCTTTCAGGAGCCCAGAATTCCTCATATAGACAAATTCCAAATTGTGCTATTGCTGTAGCCATCCGATTACTGTTTCCCTTTAGAAAATCACCATTGACCAAGATTAATGTATTAATACATAAACAGCACAAGCACCATAAAAAAATCCTAAATAATTTTTGGATGAATTATTCCTTCCTTCTCTCTCTCTCTCTCTCTCTCTCTCTCTCTCTCTCTCTCTCTCTCTCTCTCTCCCTCTCTCTCTCTCTCTCTCTCTCTCTCTCTCTCTCCTTCTCTCTCTCTCTCTCTCTCTCTCTCTCTCTCTCTCTCTCTCTCTCTCTCTCTCTCTCTCTCTCTCTCTCGCTCTCTCTCTCTCTCTCTCTCTCTCTCTCTCTCTCTCTCTCCCTCTCTCTCTCTCTCTCTCTCTCTCTCTCTCTCTCTCTCTCTCTCTCTCTCTCTCTCTCTCTCTTTTTTTTTTTTCGAGACAGGGTTTCTCTATGGTTTTGGAGCCTGTCCTGGAACTAGCTCTGTAGACCAGGCTGGTCTCGAACTCACAGAGATCCGCCTGCCTCTGCCTCCCGAGTGCTGGGATTAAAGGCGTGCGCCACCACCGCCCAGCTTTCCTTCACTCTCTTTAAGTCATAGTTTTATAATAATTAAACTAGTCAGCCAAATATTCTATTAAGTGAAATACTTAGAATAAAAAAATAAGAATCTGTATTCTAATATCTGACAGACAAAACAGACTTCAAACAAAAATTTAAGTCCGTGCTCCAATGTGGGTCTCTGTCTCTGTCTCCTTTCATCGCCTGATGAAGGTTAATATTCAGGAGGATGCCCCTATATGATTTTCTTTGGGTTCTCCTTCTTATTTAGCTTCTCTAAGAACCCGAATTATAGGCTCAATGTCCTTTATTTATGGCTAGAAACCAAATATGAGTGAGTACATCCCATGTAAAGAAAGGTAAATAAATCTTCATTACTTTATTCTGATCAAGGGAACATTCAACCAGAATGACATACGACTCTAAAAGAAAAAGAGAAGTAAGTACAGATGTACTCTCAGCAGAAATTTAGAATGGCTCAACAGACATAAGTTACAAAATCTAATAAATTAAAACATATATGAATGAGGGGAATAGGTTTCAGCACCAGAAAGCAGAAAAACTTGTCAGTTTTGAACAGGTGGTTCTGGATTTAGAGTCAAGGATACCAAAAAGAGGTTCTGAAATCCCCTTCATGGCTATGGAAAGCTACTGAGGCCAGGTGTGGGTCGTGTGTCATTGCCGTGGAGACCCAGAGAGGACATAGTGTTAAGCTATGAGATGTGAAAATGTAGCCTGGAGTTGATGGGAGCACCCACGATGTTGGTGTCGCCAGAGTCATGGGGTACCTGCCAAGAGGAGCTGATAATGGGGTGCGAAGCAGCTCAAGAGGGAGAAATGTATTGTAGTTAACCGAACAGAAAAGAGCTGGATATCTGGAGAGCCTTTGCCATCACACATGGAAATGCAGAATTGTTTGCCCTGTTGCTGTTCATTCTTACTAATTCATATTTTCTCACTAAGCTGTCTTCCTCCCTTTTGGAATGGGAATATATATTCTCTGCAATTGTATATTGAAAGATTGTGATCTGTTTTTGGAGTTTGATTTTATACTGGGTTGCAGTTAAGAGATTGCCTTGAGTCTCAGAAGAGACTTTGAACTTTGGAATTTTAAACAGCACTGAGTCTGTTGTAGACTACAGGGACTTTGAAGTTGGACTGAATGCATTTTTGCGTTACAATATGACTACAAGGCTGTGTGGCAGGGAGTGGAAAGTGAGAGTTTGATTAGAAATGCCCCATATAGGCTCATAGGGAGTGGCACTATTAGGAGGAGTGGCCTTGTGGGAGGCAGTCTACAACTGGATTTGATTTTGAGGTTTCAGAAGCTCAAGCCTGCCCCACTATTTCTCTCTTCCTGCTGACTGAAGATCTGAATCTAGAACTACTCTCAGCTATTTTTCCATTAACATGACTTTATGCCACCATGCTTTCCACCATGACTATAGACTAAACCTCTGAAACTGTAAGCAAGCACCAATTAAATGCTTTCTTTAATAAGAGTTGCTGTGGTTATGGCGCCTCTTCACAGCAGTAGAACACTGACTAAGAAGAATTCATATATGAAGAGTGTATATACATATATATAGAATTGCTCCACAATACTGACACCCCACAGAAGCTATAGACTATCAAACAAAATGCTCATGCATGGTATACCTCCCTTTGCATTATGGTTCAGGAATTTCCAAGACACTATATGTAGTTTTGTATGTTAAATATTGTATATATCTGCATACATAGTCATTATCGCATTAAGATTTCTTTAATATGAAAATTGAATAAAATGATTTAACTGCATTCCCCAAGAAATAGTTGAAGACTGTCAATGATTAGCCAAGTTAACAATACAAGAAAGGTACACATAACATTCAAGTAAAATGACATTTAATATAAATAAACAGTGCAAGTATTCAAAAAGGAAATAAACAAGAAACTGTAATCACAAATATGATAAGACTATATGGTACACTAACAAAATGGCATTCACTATAAATGAACAATGCAAGTATATAAGACTATATGGTACACTACTTCAGAGATGAATTCTTAAAATATCATAGACCATCAAAAGACAGAACCATAGGAACTCCAGGA